TATCTATCTATCTATCTATCTATCTATCTATCTATCTATCTATCTATGTATTTGTATATGTACATAAATATATAAATATATACATAGTAAAAATATATAAATAAACATGTACGAATGTACGACGACACCAGACAAATAACATGAAAAAACGATTTTAGCTTCTATCTGTATATGATCTAAAGGGGATTATGAAGTTTTTAAGTTCATGTTTGTCCACTAGTGGTATTTACTTACTCTGCTGTGCCAAGTAAAGGAGTGAGAAAGAGAGCTTGGCATCTTTCCTCCTTATTTTTTGCTGCTTAAAATGGAAAAACATTCAGCACAAGGCCTTGATGTAGAAGTTTGGCGTTTCATCCTGGCTTGTTCATGTCCCCTCAGGGTTCAGGTTATGTTCAATTTATTGTCTTGACAACATATAGGTTTGAGATTACATAATTCCGTTATTATAATAATACTAAATGTGTAGATTAAACTCTCCAGGAATAACTATTAATGCATGAATTATTCACAATTGCTGTTAAATGCAGGCAGTGTTTTATACAACTTTTCAACAGTATATTTTTCATGTTTACATATTCAAATATATTCCCACAATTGTCCTTGTTAAAATCCAGGGCCCTGCTAATACCCTTTCAGATATTATTTTAGAAAACTAAATAAATTGTTGTAGACAGCATCCCTCTCCCCTCCAGACAGCTGGAGGACAAACCAAGAAACCAATTTAACATTTGCAGAGGCGATATTTGGGTCACTCTGCTCAGCAGTCATGATCACCCCCTCCCTGCAACACCAGGGGGAGATGAAGAACTTCATTGATATCTTTTTCTATATCCACCATTTCTAATTGAGGGTTAGGGGAGCCTACATCGAGCCGATAATCACAAGATGAGAGAAGGGGTTCAATCCTCTCATTCAGGGCAATTACCCTGAGGCTTGCCCTTACTTATTTCTAAGCCCTGAGGCTTAGAAATAAGTAATAAAAAATAAGACTGTATGCTGAATTTACTAAACTCTGCCTACTTTGTCCTGATGGACTTATAGTGTTTTAAGAAAAGTGCCAATGACACAGCATGTGCTATGAATGTCTGCCTATTCATAAAAATGAAATTAGGTTGAAATATGACTATAAACATACAGACAATACCACAAACAGGTTGTTTGACACAATGTTCTCCAGGCTGTAGGTTGAATAACTGAGCAGATGCTTACAACATAGTAGAGAGGACTCTCAAGCAAATGCTTCCCCAGATATGAACAATTTTCTCCTCTCTGAGAACACATTGCTCAAATTATGTAACAAAGATGTAGATTAAGTTATTTTAAAAATTAAAAATAATCCTAAAAGATTTCAGACAAAACCCAGATGGAATATAACTGACAGTTTTCATCACATGAAACCATAAAAAAATAAAGATTAAGTGTGCAGAAAAGCACTAAAAACAAATGAAAATAATTAATACTTACTTTGCTGGCAAAAACATATCTAATCCTGTGCGACAACTGGCAAGGCAAACTGGTTTTAAAATGATGTACTGTCTTTGACGATTTATACTCTTCGGGTGTTTTTACTCAAAGCTCTGTTTTTAAATCAGGTAAAATAAAATGTACACATAATTCTATCCATTCCACCAAATAAGAATAAAAAACAAAATGAACGACTACCAAAACTAAAAGGGGAAAAAAAAGCTGTGTCTTTACAGTTATGCATTTAAAGCTCTGAATCATCTTGCCCTCTGTCAGTTAAATAGTAAGATAGTATGTCCTGTCAGCTGACCGAACACAGTGCCTGTACAATTAATATCACAGACTCTTTGTTCTCTTTATCAGATCATTGCCCTTTCATGGTATTTCATCTGCCATCTGCCAGTCCCTGTATACATCACTGGGTTACATGATCTCGCTTTGAACTCTCGAAGCTGATCTTTTATTAATTTTTTCAGACTTAAGTGTTATATTTTCTTTAAAGCTGAGGATGTAACATTGCCATAAAATGTCAACAAGACTTCCTCAGAATTTGAATCAATAAATGTACAGCCCATTCCCAGGCATTTTAAAGACTCACACTTTCAAATGTCTCTCTTTCCAAGTCCAGTTAGGGTCATAACCAATCTTTCTAACAGGCATTAGTCTAAAGAAAACAAAGTATATGTCCTGCAGTGTTATACTGAAAGTATTAAAGATAGAAATGTCCTTTAAAAGATATGGTAAGGAATAATCTTCCACTGATGCTTGTGAATAATCCTTTATCTCCTCTGCAGGATAACAAATAAAGAAACAGAGTGGAAAGTTAATACATGTTCCAAATCAACGTGTCACCCAAACAAATGATGACGAATGCCATTCTCTTGTCTTTTTTTCTACAATATGTCGAAGGCTTTATCTCAGTGACTCAGTTAGTGCCATAGCTGTGTTGTCCCAGTGTAAGTGGGAAAATGGCTAAGTATGATAGTGGCTTGAGGACAACCAGAAAACACTATGACTAATACCTATGTTTTAATGCAAGGGATGCAAGACTGATCAATGACTTTCTTACTTTGATACGATCAGTTAGCAATTCGATAGACATGAAATAAAAACTAATTATGTCTTCAACCCCAATAAAGTTTATGTTGGTCCACTGCTGGTCTGCCTTATAAAAGCTGATATCTGATCTCTGGCCCTCTGTGATTTCATCATCTCGCCACGTAAAACGTATTGTACATCGCTTCTACCATATGTAAATAGGGAGAATTCATTTTTTGAAGTTTAGATTGAGCAAAGCAGAACAAAACTAAAGCAAATTTTCAGCTAAAACCCTTGAAGCATTTTATCTGTAACTTTCCAGGGGCCCAGTTATTGCAAAAATTCCTGATTTTCAGTTAATTTTCTGTCATTTAAAATTATTTAAATGTATTGTTCCATTACAGATAAATAATAGCATAATCAATAAGAAACCTCATTTGAAACTTTACAATGTTATGTTTAAAATTGCTACACTGTCTTTACGATGTTTACACAATTAAAAAGTATAATGTATGAAACAGGTCACATGACCACAGTTTAGTTAAAGGTCTCACCTCATGGATTGTATGCAATACAGCTGGAGAGTGATACCCCTCCTCGCTTCAGAGGAAATGATCCAATCCAAAACCCAATAACTATTCTGTATGGTCTGAGAGGCACACAAGGTAATCATCACTGTTCTTTACGGTATTTAATATTCTGTTGGTTTGAACCTACCTTGTTCGATTTGGTGATGGACAGTCTTTGTGAATGTGTTCCTTATGTCTTTTATTTTATTGTTTTCATGGTATCGGCGGAGAGAAATAAAACCTTTAAATACGTTATGATGCGTGGCCTTAAAATCAGACCTGAGTAGTTACAGTCTCCATCAGCAGCTCGGTACTGAGTCGCACTTCATTAAGAAATCATTAAGCTTTATTCGTCACCAAGTGGAATCGAAATGGAAGGCTGTTAGCCACAAGAGGGTTGGTCTCCAGCAGCTCACTGTGAGACATTTTTCTCAGTAGGAGCAAGGTTGTTGTGGCCTTCACTGATGAAAGCTTGACATTACTAGAAGTGCGTCATCAACCAAGAGATGGACACGGGTCAAGTTTTGAGTGTGGGCACACATGTCAGATATAAAGTTTATCTTAACAATAGCACTGATGATGGACGGCGAGCAAAAGCTATTCACATCCCTCTGTATCTGGAGTGCTCTGCATTTTTTCTCAAGACTTTATGATTGGAAAATATTTCCCCATCCACACAATGTCTGTGATGCCTCAACATTCTGTGAAGAATAACAGGCATTTTAAAGTTTACACATCTTGATGCTGTCATGCAATTAAGAAGTTTTTTTTTTACAAGTCATGTTGTATTTGGTTCATGTACACCTCCAGCCAAAGACCAGAGACAGAAGAAATGACTTGATATATTTGAAAATATTTATTAAAGTAAATATAATAAAGTAAAAAGATTATCATTCTCTTTGAAAGTCAAAGTGAAAAGGAGTCAAAAAGAGAAATAAAAGGTCACATCTATACCTTTATGCAGTTGTGAAGAATATGATGAATGCAATAAAGATATTTACAGACTATTTTTGCTCAGCAATGGAAACAAGAGCACTGATTTCATTGAGTGTAAAGCTAGAAAAATAAAGAGTTCAGGGTTTTGCAACGGCACTCTACTCCTTCAGTGACTGCCAGATCATTTTCAACGCACATATTTAACTTAGTCAACATATTTATGGTATATTAAGCCATAACACTAATATCTTTTATCATTCCTTTCTATAATTAAAAGTAGAAAAATCTGATTCGAAACAAATATAGCAATACAATTTAAAAATGGAAAAATATCTATCCATTGTCTTTCAAGTTTTTCTCCAACATCTACCGTAAAAAAGGAATACATCTGAAGAGTGGTGTGTTCATCAACTACTTTTACACACATCATATCTGTACAGCAGTAAAACCAGCCCGTGGTGGAGGTTTTTACATATATGCTTTCAGTGCATTTTTTCAAGCTGTATGTTGACATGTTAGTATATACTAGATGTAGACTTTTGTATGACAGCAGCAGCTCATACACACAGGCAGGCTGGTGGAGACGCCAGATTTGTTCAGTTCAGTTGGCCTCCAATCTGAAGCGGCGTCAAGGTAAGGCGCTGAAATAAGGAGCCCAGGGTTGGGCTTGCCGAACCCTTCACTGGGTTGAGTCCGAGTCGCTGGAGTCCAGGCTGGTGTGTGTGGATGTAGGGGTGCAGCTGCGTTGAGCAGCCGGAGAGCAGTGAAGGGTCTGTGTGCTCCGTCGCAGGTTCTCCAGGGACTGCAAAAAGGATCGACGTGCCCTCTCCTCTTCCAGTGGAGACGAACCTTCTTCTTCCACTTCAGCGATTTCAGCAAAGGTGACAGGCTGTGTTTTGAAACGGGCCTCTCGGGGTCGGCGAGAGCGGCTCTTGCCCTTTGCAGGAACCTTGGGGACAGGCAGCTGCTGAGGGAACTCTTTCATAGCTGAGGCCATAAGATGAGTTGACAAAACGTGAAAGCCAGCAGCCTCCATCGGACGCACAGCAGCCATGGATGGAAGAGAATCTCACTGAAAATAAAACTAACTAAAAATCAGATGTTGCTGTGGATATAAAATAAAGTTGGTACTGGTACAACTTCACTTCTTCTCAACTTAGAAACAGTCTCAGTCTTTTTAAAAAAGAGCCTTGTCCAACTTGAGGAAAATTATTTTATCTCAGGATCAACAAAGCAAGGGTCCTTCCAAAGTCAGACACCTAAACCGGTCCACCCACCTCTAGACTGAGGCACGCTTAAGAATTTTAGTCTTGAAGAAAGAACTGCCTTTGGCTCTTGCCTCTTCTCTTGTCCCTTTAGAAGTGATTCAGATCTACTGGAGCTGGCTGTCTCTCTCGTTTTTCTCTCGTTTTGTATGTGTCAGTTTCATTAAGCTGAAGCTAATGCTACAAGCAGCTCAAGCTTTCCATTTTATACTAGCTCCTACCCACCCAGTCCTCTCTCTCTCTGTGAATGTTCTCCCTTTGCCACTCCCCTCCTCCCCTCTCCATCATGTTTCCGGCCTCTGTCAGCCCCTTAAAATAAACATAAAAAGACTCTATCTCCGTGTGTTTGGTCTGTGTTTTAGTGAGGTGGACACATTTGAGATCAAGACCAGGAAAAAGTTATTGGCAAAAAACGAGAGAGGCCCAGTCTCTGAGACTCAGAGGAGCTAAGAAAATTCAAGAGATTAGATTAAATTTAGTAACATTGAAAATAAATTTATTCAAGTTGTTTTGTTTTTTGAAGTTGTGGTCTGTATTTGTCTCTGTAGGTGACATTGTTTGTAGGTAGGTTTACAAATCATAAATTCCTTCAATGACAAAAAAACAATTAAAAAAAAATATATATAAAAAAACAATATAGCCTAAATAGCATAGTCAGCCGGATGTTCTAGAAACACAGATATGACTTGTGTATATGTTTGAAAAGAAACATGGCTTGCTTACAGTGTTAATACTGTAAATATATAAACACTACTCCCCAAAAGAGAAATAGTGGGACAAACAACAGTACTGGTGTTGATACCATGTCTGTTTCATATATCATTGCTAGGTATCTATTGGTGTCTCATAAATTAGCTTTCCAAAGATAAAGTGGTACTTTAAAAAAGACTAAAAGGATTTATCTCACCTAGAGGGATTTTTTAAAATTAGACAGATTGTGTATGAAAGAATATATGAATATATCACCGTATATGAGCCATATCTTTTACCTGCTTAAAACACCTGGGAGTAAGCTGGCATGAGGAGTGAGGAGTGTCTAAAGGTAGAAGTAGAGGTAGCTAAACAAGATTCTAACCCTCATCTTCTATGGACACAGACCTTCTGAAAAGGTAAAGATCAACCTTTTTCAGACAGTAAACAATCCTAATCCTAATCATAATCATAATCTATAAAGTACTAGAGTACTTTCTCCCTTAATCAATATTTACCCTCTATGAAAGTAGAGAAAAAATCCTTCTTTGCTGGTGAGTTTGCTGCTTTGTAATATAGAAAACAAAAAAATGCTTATGGGTAGAAAAAATGCCTCGACTGTACTCATATTTTTTCACTGATAAAGTATTTTGATTTGCAAATTCTGTCAAACTCTTGAAAATGAGTCTTTTGTTCAATTTTCCTGAGTGACCAAATTCTAAGACATCAAAAGAGTTTCATCCCTACTGAATTCACTGATACAAAGTAAAAAAATATTGAAGTGTTTTATCATTTTGAACTATTTCAATGGGACTGTGAAAGTATTTGTGCACATAAACATAGGTTATTTTAGTAAGTCGAATGAAAAAAATGGAATTGTAAACCCAGCTTTGTATTTTTTTAATTCTTTGTATCAAACAAGGCAAGTGAACTCGATAGATACAAAGGCCTTTGTATGATTTACAAAAAAACATGCAAAGGGTATCACCAAAAAATATCCAGCTGAATTCTGAAAAAAGTAAGAGTCTAAGTGTAAATCTGAGAATACATATTACTAATACTGAATACTTGAAAAAAAAAAATACACTGAATTATTTGTATCTTCAGTGATAGTAAGAATTTATTCGAGCAAAACCAGAGAAAATTCTATGAAAACTCCTGATCCCCAATTTTTTTCAAAGAATCCATGATTTGCTCCTCAGAAAGTAAACTTCAATTAAAGTTGTCTCCGACAAATAATTCTTTGTTCTGTTCTTATATGATTAAACAAAACAACGTGTATCTGGTCTTGTTTGTGGATGAAAGAGCAGGATGACTGGTCTCAGGCGGTTGCCTGAGATTGGCCTATTATGAGGTGAAAATCAGAGCAGACGAACAGAAACAGAGACACCATGAACTCATCAGTAGTCCCAGCAACACCCCAGTCAACATGTCACATCATCTCAACCGTTACTGTAATGACTATATTTATCAGTGTCATTGCTGTCAGGACCGGCATACACTGGCTGGTTCTGTTCACACTCCAGCTTAAATTCTTTATTTATTTCAATATGTATGATTTCATAAAAATGTATTACTTTAATTACAGATTCACAGAACCTGTTTGAAACAAAGATGTGAGACAACATTATTGAAAAAATGTCTAGTTTATTACTAGAGAATAAATGTAAACTCAGTTATTTCAGACCTGAAAGAATGATTATGAAATTGAAATTTTCAAATGCCATTAAAAAATGTATTAATTGAATAGGTGTCAGTGAAACAGTCAGAGTAGCTCATCACAAATTATTATTGCATCTTCAGCAAGCTAACACCAAGCAAGCTCAAACTATGTCATTCATACATACTAATAGGTATGGATGACACATATGTGTCACCAACCGCAGCATGTTCATTCCTTTCATGATCATTCACGCTGAGGTGACTGCATTTGAAAACATGAGCTCATGCTCTATTCTTCAGTGTGGATCCTGAGTTTTCGGGAGTGACGTTACAACAAAAAAAAAATCGTCCCCTTTTCATGTTTTGTCATGCATTCCTTTGATGGGATCTCAGAGGAGTTCAGAGAGAGAGTAACTATGTCTCCCTTCTCCCACAT